GCTGAGTAATATCAAATTCTATTGAGTATGCAGAGAGAATTTTTTTTTTTTTTTTGATACAATGCAGAGAGATTTTGTTCCTTGAAGTGGACGTTATATGAGATCCTCCCATAATTTTATGCAAGGGGAAAAAAAAAAAGAAATACCTACATGTAAAACAAAATAGTGACTGTACTGAATAAAAAATCATACCGAGAAAACGAAGCCAGGGATAACTGAGAGAGCTTCATTTTCAAAACGACAAGACAAAACTACTTTTAGAAAGAAAACAAAACATGAAAAAGGATTTTAATTACGAACAAAAAATGCTCTTTTGCCTTTTGTCTGCTGCAAATCCAAACCGGCATGTGAGAAAACCATAAAGTGCAATTGAGCACTTAGTTCAACTGATTAATCTGTAAATAAAAAATTAAATTAATTTATTTTAAAGTTTTAAGTTTGAGTTTTAGGGTTAAGAGAGACAATTGAGTTAAATAAATATGTTAAAAATATTTTCAAACATTATTACAAAATCATTGCTGGTAATAATAATCTCACCCAATAAGAGTTCAAAATGATAATATCCCAAATTTTCTAAGAGAAGACTGATGGAATCAAAACAAAAAATCATAAAGTGTATGCATGCAAAATCTGCCACCCAACTTTTTAATTTTTCTCATCCGTCACGAAAGGCCCCAAGCAGCTTCTAAGAAATTAAAGAGTACAGCTAAGAATGAGTACAAAGGTCCAAATATTCTAAATAAAGACGACCTCATAAGAACTAAATCTTAGCATCTTGAACATTCTTGGAATTGACTCAACAATAATGGCGTACACTCACTGGCATATAGCTGTTGGGGCAAGATTTATATACTTATACTTACATATTTAATATACTTTCATTCAATCAAATTAAAGTATGTAAATTTTTATATGTTAATAAAATAAATAATAAAAATTTATTATAGAATAAGTAATCTATTATATATATACATATATCTTGATTTAATTATAAATAAGTACTTTAAATATATAAGATTAAATGTCTAAGTTTTTTTTAGTCGTGGCTATTGTGTTTTTGTTTTAAATTCCCTTAACTATCCTTTTTCATAGGTAATAAAAACACACATCGCATACAAACATCAATAATAGATTCAAATTTAAAATTTCTGTTAAAGGAAGGTCGCATTATTACTAAGATAATTAATCATTAACAATCATTATCGCTATTGTGTTGATCCCAGGATGGGTAAAAGATAGGAAATTACAGGTTATATATCGGCATACACCACAAATCCAATAATATTGTTTTGATTCTTTTACTTTTTAATGTACACACACTTCTAGTTGGCCTGGAGCTCATTAAATTAGATAAAATATATATAAATGACATACCATTAGAATGAAAAAAAAATATTAGAGTTAACCTCTATTTTTGTCTCTAAATTATTTTCATACAAGTATCCAATATTCTAAATTCTTTGTTATAATAATATCATCCTTGAAATAATTAAATTTTAGCAATGTTATCCTAATATTAAATTTGAGTCAATAAAATTAACGGACAATATGTCTGCTTATGTAATATTAAAGATAACATTGCTACAATTTAATTATTTTAACAATGATATTGCCATAACAAAGAATTTAAAATAGTGAAGGTTTCTATAAAAATAGCTTAGGGACAAAAATTGAAAATAACTCAAAATACTAAGCAATTTGGCTAAACTTCCATGAGCCTTCCAGGTCGGCTGGGACAATGAATTCAGGCACACAATTACTTGAGGTCAAACAATGGCTCATTGCACCTTCCCTCTAATTGGTTGTCATATAGACTCAACTTGCAATGTTTTGATTTAACTTTTTGGTTTTTTATGCCCCTCCTAATTAATTAATACAAACAAGTAAAAAAAAAAACTGATCGCTAAATTACAAAATTGAATCGCTCAAAGCATGCACCCAAATTTCGCATTTATTGGGTCAAGCAAGCCAAGCTTCAAAACCACCTTTTTCATACTATAAATTTTCTTCATGTGTGGACAAAAATTAAACCCACCTTGTTGGTTCATGCACTAATTTCCTTGAAGGAAGGGAAATGGAGATTTTAATGAGCTGGATTTGAAAGAAATGAAAAATTAAAATTATAAAATATGTATTTTTAATAAAGGGAAGGTGTAAAATAAAAGAGTGGTGAAAAATTAATTATAAATGTAAATTATTAAAAATTTTCCTTCCTCCTATCCAAATAAACACGCCTTTAGTTGGTACAGCATTCATTGTCGTTTTGCTATTGCCATCCAACGTCAGGTGTGCCGTGTCAGGGAGGACATATACGATGAAAGTGAAACAAGCAGCCCTTACAAGTTAACGCAAATTAATTGGGTAATATGTGGGACCTCATAGGATCGTTTATCTCTACGGTCGACATTTTTCAAGTGTAGGATACAAAATATTAAAAACCGAAACAAACATTAAACTAATTAATATATTAATTTAAAAGTTAATAGTCAAAACTATGATTGAACCATCATCAATCAATTATAAATAAAACACTTGAATAAACTCAAGATACTGATTTGACAGTTTAATGATAGTTTGATCGAGTAAATTAACTCAAATTTTCATTATATGGTGGTATATCATTTATACTTTCACTAATTAATATTCAATATGAACGTATAAATAAAATAATTTCATAATATTTTTTATTTCTCATATTAATACTCATTTATACTTTTTAACTTAGTCCTCCAATTCATATACATATTTTCTCTTTAATAAGTTTTTTACAATTAATAAGTTTATTAGAGAGTATAAACAACGTAAGGTCAATGGTCAAAAAAAAAATAAACAACATAAAGTCTCCAAATTAAAGTAACATTTTGAATAAACGTAATAATTTCACAATTTCCATGAGCCTTCCGAGAGGCTTTTAATTAGTACGACCACTTCAGTCCAAAAAATATATATTAGCAGGGCCACTTTTGTCATGGTAGCTTCCAGATTGCCCCCATTATAGAAGGGTCACAACGTATATGGTCAGAAAATAAGTCACGATTTAAATATTGAATAAATACATAATTTTTCCATCTGCTTCAATTTCACAAAAAAAAAAAGGCAACCATTTAATGGCCTCATGAAAACTGATAAAATTAGCTGTGGAAATTAACAAAAACTATAGCTTACGTTTAGTTCGTCAAAAATTTGATGTCCATGACGTCTTGAACGATTTGAAACTCATAAATTTCTTCATTTCTCCCTTACCTCCTTCCTATATCTGTCCACCTATTTTTTTTATAATATTCCTTTTATCTTATTTATAAAATACTTCTAACATGTTTTACAGAAATTAAGAAAAACTTTAAAATTTATTAACTCTGTCTAAAAATTTAATAATTTTTTAACTTTTTTCATATTAAATATATATTTTTTAATAACATATTTTTCTTTCTAACATTCAATTTAATGGAGGTTAAATAAAAAAAATTACGATAAAAATTTAATGAAGTGATTTGTAAATAAAAGAAAAAATTGCACATAAGTTTTATACAATACATTTTTTAATACAAGATCACAGTAAAAATCATGTAAAAAGATCAATTCATGTCTTGTCAGAAGATATAATGTTTCTACAATTTATGGGAGGATTATCAAGTAAAGTAATATTAAAATGCTCATTTGAAGTTTTGTAGGTTAGAAAATTTGCACAATAATTAATTTCTTTATAAACGTGATCAAAAGTAATCTCTCAATTTCTCATGATGAAATTTTTATGTTTTTAATGATTGTTGAGAGAAGGTGGTTACTCATACAATATATTTAATTACCAAAAAATTATTGACAAGTAAAGAAAAATGATAACAGTTACATTTTCTTTTGCTAGTTATTGTTAATGGACTTTAAATGTGTTGTGAGAGAGGAAGTGATTTGCCCTATTCGCTACTAGTTACTAGACATTTTCAAACATAAGGCTCATTTAGTTGTTGAGTAGGAGGTGAATGAAATGGATTAAAAAATTAAAATAAAAATAAATTAATTTTTTTTCATAACAAAATGATGAAACTCAATGCTATATACTATAAATATAAAATCATTATACCCTCTAAAAGCTTCATTAATTATGAATCTCAACTTCATCAATTAAATTATATTTCTCTCTTAAAAATATGATTCACCTTTTCTCTTTTATATTTTGATTTAGTATTTTTATCTTTATTTTTTTCAATTTATTCCATTCTAATAACCAAATAACTACTCCCTCCATTTAAAAATGTAAAGCATTTTTAATCGAATATCACTTATCAATAAAGTAGTTATTTACTTTTAAATTAACCCTATCTTTCTATATTTATCCTTATTAAACACCCTACAATAAATATAAAGTCATTATTAATAGAGATACTTTTGAAAAAAAGATAATAATTAAACCTCTAAAGATTAAAAATGTTTTATATTTTTGAACATCTAACTCTTTAAAAAATACTTTATATTTTTTAACGGAGGGATTAAATCTTTTCAAAAATATTGAAAAGGTGCAGATGGAACAACCTTTTTAATAGAAGTAAAAGAAAAAACAGTAACTAATTATCTCCTAAAAGGGTTAATTTTAAATTAGGACTTTTAAAAAAAATTAGTGTTCAAACGTAGAAAAATGAGTATTGAATTTAGGAAGTTAAGACCTAAATTATGACGAAATTTTAAGTTGACATTAATTTTTTGTGAGATTTTTAATTGTCATTTTCTTGAGATAAAATTGAAATTTCTGAATTTTCTTTTAACAAATTTAAGAATGTAACAATATTTTTTTAAGACACTTGAAAATATTGGAAGCACATTGTTACAAGGACACGAGAGGATATAAGGAATCTACATTATCATTTTTTGTGGAAAAGAAACTAATTCTAAGCATATTTTTCTTTTTTTTTAAATAAGATCAAATTTTATTAAAAAAATATATAAAAGTGATTTTAGAAACAAAAGTCCAAGGAAGAACTAAGGGCCCACACGGAAAAAAAAAATAATTAAATAAATGCAGGTGTGTGAATGGCATTAATGCAATTAATTGGAATCAAAGGGGCACGTTGGTTGGTGCACAAAGTCCAATTGGCTGTATAAATACCACACACAGGCAGAACGAGCTCATTGCTCCTCTAAAGCTCTAATAGCCATTGTAAACAACCATAGCCGAAACCCTTGTTGTCCCCAAAACAAAACAAACATATATATCTGAAACCCTAGTTATGGCTTCAGAAAGCTCAACAGTGAAAGTAAACAAACAAAGTTCATCGCTGTCGCGACTCTCGGCTGTTGCGCCACATCGGAGTGTGAAGGTTTCTAGGATTAACGTCCAAAGAACCTTGGAAACAATCTATGAAGATGATGAAGAAGAAGTCAGTTTTGAGAAATCCGAGGTTGCTTCGCCATCGTCGTTCATACCATTGCAATTGCTTATGCTTTTGTTCAAGCTACAAGGAGCCCCTTTGCCATCACGTAGTCGTAATTGTCAATATTGTGCTTAGCCTCCTCCCAAGCTGTAGATCAGAGTCTCTGTAAGAGCGTGTGAGTATATTATATAATCCATGAATATTAAATCCATTTTTTTCAAATAGTTGATATCATGGATAGTGTTATGAGTCCTACGTGCAGAGTGTGAGGTGAGGTTTATGTGTTTTCTGTTTGAGGGTCGATGAACCGATAGCGGCAGCTTCCGACATTTCACTCGACCTCTTATGATAATATATAGGAACCCGGTAATGAAGAGCATGAGCATTAATGAAATGATTAAACCGTCACGAAGGGCCAATGTTTGTTGGGTTTCAACCATATATAATTAACGTCCCGTGTGCCGTAACTTGGGGGGTATGTGTGACCCGGTAGGATCATTTTCAAAGAAAATTATTATTGTACGTAATTGATTCTCCCCATTGTGTGTGTATAGTGCATGACATTATCAATCTAAACAGAATAAAATAATATTCTTTATGTTTCAAAGCATTTATGTTCAAGTTTAATTTGTCTTTTGCTAGAAATTAAATTATTACATAACTTACTTCCTTTAGTCCTATTTACATGATAGAGAAAGATAAGATTTTTTTTTCAGATCCTATTTATAGATTACCTCATCAAATTTTTATTATAAATTTCTTCAATTGCCCTCCAAAAAATATTGGAGAGAGAAAATAAATTATTAAAGTATGTATATTTAAATGGGGTAAAGTTAAGAAATTATTAAATTTTTAAACAGAGTTAATGAGTTTTAACGTTTTCTTTAATTTCGGTAAAACATATTAAAAGTAATTTATAAATAGGATCAGAAAAATAAAATGTAACAAAAAATAATTATTTTTTAGCCTAGACCAACAAGCTTTTATTTTAGTAAAAAGAGTTATGACTGCTTAAATATGAAGTTTTGAGTTTGAGTTTATGTAAATTTAAAAAATTAACACTTTTGAAAGAGCTGCTCTTAATTGGATTTGACAGTGCTTGAATTTGACTTGGTCAAGTAATCATATAAAAAATATACTATTGTAATAAATATGATTCTCTTGTTATCTTAATTATACATTATCTCTTCCTGGAAGTCTATTAGGACCATTTTGAACCCTAGGATGGGTTGGGGTCATGCTTCTAAGGGATGAGTTTAGGGCCGTTAGGAGGGTTTTGGGTCAAAGAGTCGAAAAGGGGCAGGAGCCACAAACAGAGCCTTCGCCAGGGATACCTCATCAATTGGCCCAGGATAAAAGGGTCAGAGATAAGCTCCGCATTTTCAGCCAATCCAGCGCCAGATACGTCATTTTCAACATGACCAACGTTGGATATATGATTCTGCACGATCCCCATTAACTTTACACCAAATTAAAAAAAAAAAAACCAACCTTTTTCCAATTCATTCAAATAGCCTAACATTGATCATTAAATTTTAAAAATAAAACTTAACAAATTAAAAAATATTAATCTTTTCTATAAAAAAAATTAATATTCAATTTGAACCTTAAACTATATGTTTAAAGATAATTTGAACCTCGAACCTTGAACTATTAAAAAGTACATTTTAAATTTTAAATAATTAAAATTGAGATAATTTTTTTCCTATCATTAAATTTAAAGTAATGTTGGTCAAAATGATTCCTAATTTATGATTTTCCTCAAATGAGGACAGGAGGGGGAGGGAGAATAAAATTAGATGAAAATCGCACATTATGCTCCATTTTGACAGACGCTAGCTTAAGTTTGACAATAGAGATAAAATTGTTCAAACTTTAATTATTTATAATTTAAAATATATCTTTTAAAAGTTTAGAATTCAAATTGCTCATAAATCAATGGTTTATGATTTAAATTATATATTAACTATTTATAAAATTAATTAATACTCATGCACCATTGTTAACTTAAGAATATTAGAAGTTCTTGGAGAAAAACTTCATGAATATTTTTATAACTCAACCCTATTTATAAAATGTTATTCAAGTGATGAAGCACGAAACCATTAAAAGCTGCATGGTTAAGAGTTAAAGAGATTTTAGGCATTGCTACTTGACTTTCTAATTCATTGTGCACACAACATTGACGTTCAAAAAAGAGAGACTACGAAGAGGAAATTTTCTAAGAGTTTCCACTTTAACTGATAGTAATCAGACAAAACTAGAAATTTTATACAAGCATGCAAATAATATGATTTTAATGGAAAAGGACATAGATACATACTTGCATCTTTTTGCGGTTCTCTATAGCAAGTTTGATTGCATTGGTTGCTCGAATTCGGTTAACAACCATGATAATGTCAGAATTTGAGCAGTTATCAAGCAATGAACGTAATTCTTCAAAGGTCTTAGGAGCTTCAATTATAAAAGGAATGTCTGACTTTGCTGAAGATTTTTTAGCCCCGAAATCCATCTTCTTGGCATCTGAGTAATCCCTATCCTTTTTAACATGTTCAACATTATCTTTTTTCTTTGCATTTATAAGAACTGTAGCATTCGGCTTCTTCACAGCGTTGCCCCAGTCATGCTGTCCTGCTTTTTTCTCTCGCTCTTCTTCCTCACCACTATCTTCTTCCCCTTCATCCTCTAAATTTGGCTTGACATTCTTTGTCATAATCACTTTGTTCCCAATCCTTCAAAAAATGACTGATTTCATATTCATCAGGATCTTCATCAGAACTTTCAGAATCATCAGAAGCTTCACCATTCTCACCAGCAGAATCTTGTGCATTTTTTTCTTTCAAGAATCTCATCAATCCAGCCCCTTTTGCTCATAGTTTATTCACTAACAGAAAAGGAACCACCAAGTTCATCCCCAGAGAGCAACTTTGGTTCGTTGTTTTTTTTTTTTTTTTTTTGGGCGGATTTTCTGAATTTTCATCATCTTCATCACTTGAAGAGTAAACTGGCAAATGTTACAGTCATCCATTTCTAAAAGCCAGCTTTGCCAAGCATAAGGAATTTATAAATACCTCTAATCGCTCTAAGCGTTCTCTTTCCTCTTGAGCAATCTCTCCAGGAGTCTTTGTCCTGTCTGAGGGGCGAGCTCTCATTTACAATACCAATTCTTTGACAAGTTCGTCATAAGCATCAGGTTTGTCCTGCCATAAAGAACAAATAGGATATTGCTACAAGAAGAAACTCTCGGGGCCTACAAAAATCTTCTGAGTACCAGATAAACTATTTGTTGCTAGGTTCAATTGTAATACTCTTGTTCACCAGAGCCTCCAAGGAATTCACCTTCCTGGGTACCGCACCGTCAGAGATAATAATGCTTTAAACTGAATTAAATCAGTGAATTTCTGATCTAAATCTTCCACCAACTGTTCATTTTCTTCCTCTTCTTTTGCTTGCTGAGCCTGGAACATATTAAAGGAAAAGGATATGTGAGCATATATAGATTATAAATAAACCAATAGCCATTACTAAAGAAAACCCCATACCTTGAAAAAATTGCTTTTTGAGATAATTTCGTCCATAATTTCGCAGGTGATAAAAGTATCTATCAATCATGTGATACTCCTTCCATCGTTCAAGTTCCACGCCCAATCTCTGCTAGATTTGGAACATATCCATATGATCTTAACAGCATTGTCAATCCTCTCAATGTCCTATATATATCCTCTGTATCAGGGTGTCTCTCATCTAAGGAATAAAATTCCACCACATTATCATTGACCTCTATCACACTACATCCCGGTTGTTTCTTGAACCCAGTATCTCTTATTGCAACCTTCAATCGTGCAACATCTTGCCATCTTCCAAGATCCTTATATATGTTGGAAAGCACAACAAAGTTTGCAGGGTTGTTTGGTTCAAGATCAATGAGCTGTTGAAGAGCCAATTCAGCTAAATCAACATTCTTGTATATTCTGCATGCCCCCAGTAGGGAAGCCCATATAACTGAATCTGGTTTCATTGGCATCTTCCTCACAAAATCTATAGCCTGGTCTAAAAGACCAGCTCTTCCTAGTAAATCAACCATACATCCATAATGCTCAATTTGAGGGACAAGTGAATAACAATCCACCATTGATTGGAAGTATGAAAACCCATCTTGGACTAAACCCATATGTGTACAGGCAGCCAAAATTCCAACAAAAGTAACCCCATCTGGTTTTTCTCCTGCATTCTTCATCCGATCAAACAAACTCAAGGCATCAACAGCATGCCCGTGTATGGCTAGGCCATTGATGATGGTGTTCCATGTAATTATATCTTTTCTATCCAGAGTGTTGAACACATCAATTGCACTTTCTATATTCCCACATTTTGCATACATGTCAATCAAAGCATTTCCAACAAACTGGTTTCTTGTTAGACCAATACCATCTGCATACATATGCACCCACTTACCCATATCAAGAGCTCCTAATCTTGAACATGCAGACAGCACCGTAACAAGTGTTGCATCATTAGGAAGCACATCAGCTTCAATAAGCATCTGTTTAAAAGAATCCAATACTTCAGAAAAACGTCCATTGCGAGCATAACCTCCAATCATTCCATTCCAAGAAAAGACATTTCTTTGAGGCATATCTTTGAACAACTTCTCACAGGATTCAACATCCCCATTAGTCGCATAACCACTCAATATTGTGTTCCATGACATAATATCCCGGTTGGGCATATTATCAAAAACTTGTCTTGCTGCTGCCATATCACCCAATTCTATATAACCCGAAATCATAGTGTTCCACAAGATGATATCACGCTCTGGTGCTAAGTCAAAAAGGCGTCGTGCAGAAACTATGTCATGACAACCGACATATGCATTAATCATAGAAGTCCATGCAACTACATTCCTATCAAGCATCCCACCAAACACTTTATAAGCAGCTCCAACTGACCCCCTAGCTGAATACATATCAATCAATGTGGTTGCCACAAATGGATTTGATTTATAACCTCCTTTTATTACAAAACAGTGAACTTCTTCTCCTTCAGTTGTTGCATTGACCTTCCCACAAGATCTAAGAACAATGGGAAAGGTGAAGCAACTAGGCAGTGCGCCGGCTCTATTCATTTGAAAGAACAGCACAATGACTTCCCAGTAAGAATCATTTTGTGAATACCCTCTAAACATGGCATTCCATAGAGCAGTGCTCCGATCAGGAATTTGATCGAACGCCTTTCGGGCATAGGCCATCTTCTTGAGTGCTGCACAAGCCGTGAAGAACTTTGGGGTGACGTACTCATTTTCCTCAAATCCATGGGCAATTATCTGACCATGAATCTGGAGGAGTTGTTTATGGGTTCTACATGACTGTAGAAAGGAAATGAATTTTTCTTCGAGTACTCTGTGCGGTGGCTTCTGAACTAAACTCAACAGAATGTTCGCTATTTTCCAGAATAAGGCAGCTAGAAGCTTCTCATAGAGCGAATAAATCACAAAAATATAGGATGAAAACCAGCAATGGAACCAAGCTGCTACGCGACGTATGGGAGTTTCATCCGGAGGGACTGGAGACGAACCCAAACTTTCAGATGTTAAATAAAGTAGTTTCAGTTACAATCAAATGTTTCAACTTTCAGGACTATTCATATTATATCTCAAGCACTAAAAAGCATGTCAGTGATGAACGAAAGGGAAAAAAACGGATCACTCTATTCTTTTGATTGCAATACTCAGCAATACAGACATTATGAAAAAATTGGGGGCCAACCTTCTTCCAAAATCAACAGCTGAGAAACAGAGAGCAAACGCAGGGAAAGATAGAAATAGAAACTAGCAGAGAGCGAGTAGACAGACTGAAAAGGAAAAATAACACCACATCAGAGGGGGATAAAAAACAGCAGCGAGAGCGAGCAGACAGAAGAAATAAAAAATGGAGAGGAGAGAATAAATGAGAACGAGCAGCGCATAGAGAGGAGAAACTTGCGGTAAACCAATGGTGATGGCGACTGGGGACGGCCGCCAAGACAAGTGCGTAGGCCGAGGGAGGTGCGGAAGAAAAGAGAAGCCGAGAAGGTGTTGGAAAGGCTTGTGTTGTGAGTGAAGCGAGGCCTATTGCTAGCTTAAAATCGTTTATTGTAATAGTGCTGTACAAAATGATGAAAGGCTGAAAAGGGGAAGCGGACGAAGTTGGAAATTGCGGATATGGCCAGAACCGAGAAATGGGCTCCTAAACCCAATTTCTCTAAAATTGACTTTTTTTTTTTAAAATCAACTCTTATTTAAAGAATTCAGCAGTACTCGTGAATCCATTTTTTTAAAAAAAAAAATTGTACGATTGCATTTTATTTTTTAAAAAAATTTGTACGATTGTGATACTCAGGATTAGTATTTTAAAACTCAAACCGGTGGTGGTTTTTATAGTTCAATCAGTTAGACTGATGGTCAAATCGATGACATAAAAATTAAATCAAAAATAATATTTATATGCACAAATATATAAATAAAACATTAATTTTTTGATCATGATTGGGATCTCGACTTTGAAGACTAGATGCCTGGATCGTTGGAGTTGGAGGCAGAAGCATGTTGGTACAAGCTCGCAATTTCAAAGGAAAACACTGGAGTTGGAGGCATGTTATCATGTCACAACTCACAAGATTTTGATCTTGATGTCAAAGGCTGGACCATTAGATCTTGAGGCAGAAGTTGGAGAAGAAGTCAAAGATTGAGCATGAGCCATAAAAAAGAGATTAAAGATTAGAGAAGAAAAGATAAAAGAGAATTAGTGATGAGAAAAGAGAAATTGTGAATCTCAACGACTTAACCTAAATTTATTTTTTTATATTTTTTTTGCTTTGACTAGGTTGACCTGCTTCAGTTTTCAAATTAAAGTCGATTCTCTCAAAACTAGCCTAGTCAATTTGGGTTAACCCAGTTTAAATGCCAGTTTAAAAGAGGCCATGGCCATATCCTGTTTACATTCAGTGAAATACAGCTAGACAAATGGGTTACGATTTGGTCTGCGTGAGCCAGGATTTTGGCAGATTGCATTCAAGCGAACCCGCCAAATAAACGGGCTGGGAAAACACAAAATACACCATTTTTTCTGGAATGATTTAAAAAATATAATCAGCACATAGTAACTAGAAATATAAATGAAGGTTAGTTTAACAGTATTTGGCTATTTGCTACTTTGCTAGAACTAGTAAATCTGCATCAGAATCGCTATTAGATATTGCCCATTTGTTACTCATAATTGTTGCTTGGACAGTGGACACCAAGGCGGACATGTGGTTCAATGTTAAAAATTTATTCTTCTGGAATCTGCGAATTCTCTATTGCTGCCATTAGGAACGCCAACAGAATGATCTTCAAGGAGATACTGCACCCTTCTTCCATACCTCTGATCTCTTCTCTGTGCAAGCTTCTTAAAATCCCAGAAAGTCCTTTAATTTGACTTCAGCTTGTGGGAATGCTGTTCTTCAGTCACCACGACGCTGGATTGATTCCAGTGCTATTCGATGTGCAGCTTCAGACGCTGATGGTGGCTGGAAGAAATTTATAAAATTATCTTCTTCTTGGGCTGATTATAGGAGTGATTTATAATCAGCATTTCATAACTAAAGCCAGTCGCTAGAGTTAATGATAGAGTATCTTATAGTCTAAATAAAGAACCAAACTTAGATGGAGCCTACACGGATCGAAGGAGTCAATCGAAAGGGGGAAAATTTTGTTCACGTGAAACTTTTCTTCCATGAAAAATATTTCCTTCGGCGTTGAGTTATAGACACCAAAAGGAAAAGTAATTAAACGAAACTTGTAAGGATGGGAGAAACGAGAGAAATGGGACGTCAAGTGAGTGTTAGTTTTTTGTTTTTTTGTTTTTAAAAAAGGGGCTAACCCATGAGTTTTTTAATGGCTTATTTTACGAGCCCATTCCACCAATTTCAAAGGGTTTGTAGGCTAACTCATCGAAATAAGATCGTTTTCATAGCTTTACAATGAAATGATCCATCACTATGTCATTTCAATAGCTGTGGACTCCCTTGGCATGAGCTGAGAGCACCACGTCGCCATTTTCCTTCGGCGTACTGTTGGGTAACAGTATCAGCCCAGTTCATCATGATAAACCACTGGCAGAATTTAAATTCAGTACCTCTTATTAACAAAAAAAAAAAAAAACTCAGTACCTCTATAGAGATTAATTTTAAGTGGATCTAAATTTTCTTTTAAAAAAATTTCAGTTAAGTCCAGAGAAAAAAAATCAAAAAAATTTCATCAATGAAAAGATCAAAATACCTTTCACTAGTTATGTATAATCATTAGTTGTTAATTTTTTTACTCCACTTGTTAACTTACAAATATGAGTTAACATGTCAATAATTATATAAGACTTTATATCACTTTTTCAATTATAAGCAGCAACATTACTTGTTAAATTATAAATTTTAATTATTAATTTATTAACATCAGTTATAAATTATTAATAAGTCTTGTAATTTATTAACATCAATTATAAATTATTAACGGGTCTTGTAATTTACAACTAATGTTAACAAATTAATAAATAAAGTTACTGATTGTTTGGCAAATGAATGTAATTTATAAGTGATATTGGTAAATTAACAAGTGTGGTAATAAAATTAACAACTAATGATTCTGCATAACAAGTAAAGGGTATTTTGATCTTTTTACCAGTGAAATTCTTTTGACTTTTCTCCCTTTGAATGAATTGAAATTTTAAAATTTTTTGAACTCACCTGAAATTAAGTCTCTGCAAAGGTACTGAACTAAAATTCTCCCTAAACCACCCCATTGGCAAATTGCCTTGACCTCAAATTGGTTGAAGAGGAAGCCTGCTGTATCTTTTCCACACTGGCATATAGGGCTACACAAAGTATTGACCTGATAGGACTTCTGCCTAACCTAAAGTCTAGTTCTTTTTATGAAAAGGATTGAGTTAAACAACCCGTGATTTGGTTTGATTCTAGTATAACCTTAAGCAAAACAAGACTGGACTGGTTAAGTAGAATTAAGAGACTGGTCTCAGTCTTTTCTAGTATTTCATTTTGTTTTTTTTCCTTTTCATCTATGAAAGGTAGCAATTTATTTCAATATAAGAAACTCAATTAATATAATAAAATTTCTTATAGTCATATAAAATTTATCACAACATTAATTATAAATCCACAATAATATCAAACAACAAGAAAAAGTATTTTAGCTACAACACAAATGATTTAAATTAAATAACTTTTAACAATATTAAATAACATTCAACATGTCTAAAGTCCATTATACCAAGTTAGCAACAAATTTCACCAGTAAAAGGAAAAGATTGAGGTTAGTTAATGCTGAAATTTTGCTCAATATTCATGATTTCACAAGTATAAAACACAAAAAATTAATAATTATTATAAATTAACTTATTATAATAATAATAATTAATAAATTATTTGTAATTATATTAAATAAATTTATAGGACCATACTGGATCAAATGGTCTAGATGTTCAATCTCTTGTCCAGTCTAATCCAAAAAAAGAGTTTGATCTCTGGACAAAATATGATGGGTTTGGCTTAAGTTGGATTAGATTGGAGGATTTTTACACAGTTCTTCTGGCACACATTGCAACTCCAAGGGTTTGATGTTTTTACATAGCTCCAAAGATCAATAACATTATGCCATTAAGTGAAAGTCAATCTTAATTAAATTAAAAGTCAATATATCCATGTCTACTAGTCAAAGAATAACATTCAATGATTTTGGCACTTGAAAGTTGTTTCGATATAGTTTATAATAACCAATGTTATCCAAAATACTTCTAAAACAAAATTTTCTTTTAACCTAAATTTTTTAATGTTGATATTTTTCTTTTTCACTTTACATGGGGCGAAATATCTAGTGAATATGATTATTTGGTCATCAACATCAATATAAATTATAATTATTCACAAGCCATAATCAGTCCTAAATATCTCAAACCTTGTGTGCCAATGTACAATGCCTTTTAAAAGAAAAAAAATGAAATTACTAAGATTGGAGACATCCAAAATAGTTCCATATGAATCAATGAATGAGAAAATACTTTATTCTTGCTTTCTAATGGCAAATTTAACCAAGATTGACATCTTAAATTAAAAAAAAATCATATTTAAACTATTTATTAATAATTTTTAAGAAATAAAAAACAATTGCGCTATTTACATTTTTGCAATATTTGGAAGTTACCAAATTAATAAGATGGGCATTCATATCTTGTGTTCTATAATGTTTTCTAGGTTGTTGAGATTTAACTACCATGCCCATATACGTGTCCTATTTTAACACATAATCTAAGAAAAAGTAAAATTTCTTGTTTGTGATGATAGACCTTTTCAATTTCAATCACTAATTATTT